TGTTCCAGGATTCATTGTTTGCATATCCTGTATTTAGAAGGAAGTGGGCGTGGTAGGAGAGCAGGTTAATTGTCAGCCCATCAGAGAGGCCTTCCCAGACTACTGGACAAGTAACCATCCTCCATTCGCTATCACATCACCCTGTGTTCTTCTTAGCATAGCGCTTATGCTTTTCTGATAGTTTCTTATTCATTCATTGATTAATTTTGTTTACGATCCAAATTCTCTGTTAGAATGTAAGCTTAATAAGCATAAGGGGTTTGTTCATTAAAGTGTTTTCTGTGCTTAGAATCGTGCCTGGCACATAGCTGACTCTTAGTAAATGTGTGTAAATGAGTAAATGGGTGTATGACCTTGAAAAGAGTTGAACTCTTCCCTGGAGAGTTAGAGCTCCCTGGAGTAAAATACTGAGCATTATATCCAACTAATGTGTGTTAGGATATTTTGTGGGTTCCTCTACATTTCCTATATATCTTTTAATCAAATAGAAAACTTTAAGAGTCATGTGATTCTGGGTCTTTAAGATAGCAACCCTAAAATATAGCTTGAGATTTTCCAGAATCTTAAATTAAAGCCTCCCCATCTCCCTGTCTGGACTTATGCATGCTGATCCAGCTTCAGATCAGCCAGCAGCTATTATTCACCCTAAAATTAAAAGCAAGAAAACAACCTCTCTTCTTGCAAACAGACATTCATGAAAAGTTTTGGCCTTGTTATGTTGGCTGTGGTCTTAGTGATCCATATTTATTTGGTTTTAAAATATCTCTCACATGTTTAAGATAGATTTATCATTAATATTACACCAGTAGTTGTAATTACTAAGGTTATTACTGTAACACATTTAAACGAACTAAAAATGCTATCAAAAGAAATTAACCTACCTCCACATACAGACAGCTCTCAAAATAGCTCATTTATTGCCTAGAGATGGAGATCATGCTAGGGAAATTGTGAAAATGGACGTGAGTCATGAAAGTAACTTTTAGCTTAAGCTACACTGATCTCTTGAATAAGAATCACTCTCAGAATGAAATTAACCTCGTTGATTTTAGCAGATCAAGTCCCATTATGCCCTTATTCTAAGTTAAAAGCAAAAATATAAACAAAACCTGTTAAAATTTTGAGTGTGTGTGATGCAGAACCATCCAGGAATCATTTAGGAATCTCTCGTGCTAAATTTAACAGCATTTGAAAAGGCAGGTCTATATAAGGAGAATAACCATACTAGGGTCACTTTGACGCTGGCCAGGGGTCCTTGTTCATGCTGGACAAGAACAGTCTAGGCAGTCATCATCATCATCTTTAGCTTGATGGTTCAAGGATGAGGCTTAATACTTATAACAGTATTTGTTATTTCTTCATCCTGAAACCCTTGTTCTTCTGTATTCTACTTAGTGAGTGAATGTGTCTAAACTGTGATGACCTAAGGGCTCATTCGCTCATTTGAAGTTAGAATTCACTGAGCATCTGCTATATGGAAGGTGCTGAACTGGGTTCTGAGGATACTGAGGGAGACCCTGATCTTTTCCTTCAAACTGCTTAGGTACATATCTGGCTTTCCTGGCAATATTATGGCAGTGTGTAAATAACACTAGAGTGTCTGAGTCATCCGTGGAAAAAGACTCATTGTATGCCTGTGACATGTCTTACTTTGAGATTATTGAAAAGTGAGACCCAACTACCAAATGACTGGCAGAAATTTCCCTTTTGATTTAAGTGTTTTCATTGTGAATGGTCATGACCATTGGGGTTGGGCCATTCCTTGGGTACTTTTTGATTTGCTAAGATCTATAACCGTACAGGGTATGTGGCATTGTTTCCATGTTACCTATGAGGAACCTGAGGTTTAGGTAGGTGTAGATTCCTTTGGCTGCTGTAACAAATTACCATAAACTAGGTGGCTTAAAACAACAGAAACTTGTTTTCTCACAGTTATAGAGGCCAAAAATGAGAAATCAAGGTGTTGGCAGGGCCATGCTCCCTTTGGAGGCTCCAGAGGAGAGTTCTTTCCTTCCTATAGCTTCTGGTGGCTGTTGGCATTCCTAGACTTGTAGCCACAAGTCTACATCATTCTAATCTCTACATATGGGATCATATTGCCTCCTCCTTTTCTGACCCTGTGTCTTCTTTGTGTGTCTGTCTCATAAAGATACATGTGACTGCATATAGGGCCCACCTGGAAAAACCAGGATCTCCTTCTCATCTCAAGATGAATAACTTAATCACATTTGCAAAGACCTTTTTACAGATTAGGTGATACTTAGAGGTTCCAGGGATCTGACATGGGTATCTCCCAGGGAGCTATTTCCAGCCTATGTCAGAGGTTAAGGCTTTTCCAGGGTCATGCAGCTGGTGGAAATGGGGTTTGAACATAGCCAGGTCTGACTCTAGAGTCCAGTCTCTTAAATCTCCATACTGACACTCTGGGATCCATGTGGGCATTTGAATGATGTTGGAGTTTTCAGTGCAATTACATAACTAGTTTTCACCTAGAAATCTAGCATGAAGAACTAAGATAAAGGTTTTATTGATAGAAATATTTTATTACTATCTTCCTCTTGATGCATTCAGCAAGGATCAACCAGTATTTGCAGTGTGCCCAGGCTGTTCCAGGCTCTGTGCTGTCACAGAAACTTGATGTTAACCAAAAACAACCACTACTCCTGTCCTTCCAGACTCACTGTCCTGTGCAGGGACAGAGATAGATACTAAGTAACACACGAATGAGTGTGTAATCACCAACTGAGAAGGAAAAGGGACATAGAACAAGGAAAGCTGACCCAGGCTGGATGTGAAGAAGTTTTCCCTAAGGAAGTGATATTGGAGTCAAGGTTTGAAAGCTGAGTAGGAGTTAGCTAGCTAGATGAAGGAGGCAGGCAGCAGGGAAAACCATTCCAGAAAGAAAGAATGGCATCTGTGAAGGCCCTGTGGCAGGAGAGATCCTCAGCTTTTTAGGAATTGAAATAAGGGTAGAACACAGAGTGAGGCAGCTTTCTCAATATGAGCATTTATTTTTAGGTGTCTTCCTGGGTACAGAGTAAGACTCAATGAATTTTCTACTTTGGCAAACCCTTTGAAGGCAGGGAATGTGTTTTATTCATCTCTGGATGCTCTGGCCCAGGTTAGTGTCTGGAACATTAGAATATATGTTCAATGCTATGCTTGTTGATTGACAGTGAATAGATGAATGAACCAGTTAGCCTTGACCTTACATATACAGGGTGTTTGACAGAACAGGTGAAATAGCCATAGTCCCACTTGCTAGGCCTTCCCCTTCTAAACCAGAGGATCATAGTGTAGCCAAGTATATTCTGGCCAGTTGTTACACCCACATGATTGTCCCATGTGAGCAGAGGGCTGGTGAGGGAGCCAGGAGTCAAAGCCTTTTTGCACCTAGTTGTGAAAAACTCTGGGAAGGCCTTGGCTTCAGGAGAGAAAGCTGGGATAATAAAACCTGAAAGAGCTTTCTCAGCCCTGTTCTCAGCTTGACCCCAGCACAGACATTGCTGACTGCATCTGCAGGCCAGAGCAGTGCGCTTGGATTCCTCCATCTCCTTTGAGGGGAGACACGATGTGAGGCTTTTCTGCAAGCCAACCTCTGTCTGTTGCTCCATATTTTGTTGCGCCAGAAAAGAGCTAGCTTTGGGTCCTAAAAAAAGGGACAGGCCAGGAGGAAGGCTTTCCCATCCTCCACTCCGAGAGTTTAACGTCCCTTGTTCACATGCCAACTGGGCCGCCTCCTGTTAGAATGTATGCTTGTGAGATACATAACTTCTATTAACACTCATTTAGCTTCTTTATCTAAGAGAGAACAAAATTCATTTCTATACTGAACTCACTCAAAGGGATAAGGTTTCAGAGATTGCCTTAGAGCTCACGTTGAGAGTTCCGCATGGGATGAAACCTGGCTAGTGGTTTTGGCCACACAGAGGCCGCAGATGTGAAGGTCTGGTCATGAAAATCTCATGGGCGAGGGGATGAAGGCCCTCAGAGACTTGTGTCTGTAGCTGCCACCATTCCATACAAGAAGCTCTCAGAGCTGACAAATTGTGTCATGTATGGGGTGTCCACTCAGAAGTATGATATTTTAAATTTTGTCCTAAAATAGAAATTCTGCGTTGACCTACTGGCCTTGTACTTCTAAGATTATCTTTCTTCCATCCCTTCCCTACCGTCTTTCCTACTTCTCTCATCTTTCTTCTCTTGTTCTTAGTCTTGTCTTGAGATGGTATGAGATACTAAAAATGGACAGTGAATCAGGAGAGCTCTAAGCCAGGCTCTGGCCCTAATAAGTAGCTGTGTGGGCTGGGGCATTCCACAGAACGTCCTTGGTCCTCAGTTTCTTCCTCTCCAACATGGAGCTCTGGACTCTGCATACCCTGTGAAGCACTCACTGCAGTCTTCAGACCTTTCTTCCCTCTTTTCCCCCCAGACAGTCCACTCTTCTTTCCCCTGCCCACAAAGCCCTCATCTCTTTCCAGTTGTTTTCTGTACTTCCATCCCTCTTCTCCTGTCTTTCCTCTCTCTTCCTCGTTCTTGTGAGGAGTGGAGGATCACAAGTTGGATATGGTATTTATTCTTTTTGGAGAATAATGGAGAGATTTCTAAAGCCCCAGTTGATAAGATATATCAGCCGTAATTGTAAGGTTTGCACTACTCTAATTAGGACAGTTGGTGCCAAGATATCATGGGCTGCGAGAAGCCATGGACTGCCAAAATGTGCTGGTGCATGACATAAAAAGGAATTGGGATGAGAGGGAAGATGTGAGGCATCTCTTTTCCTTCGCATATCTGTGCCCCTATTTGTTTTCCTTGTATCTGGGGCCACGGTCCCCATATCCTCAACTCCAAGGGAGGTCAAGGGATTCCTCATTTGTGCCCCTTCACAGGACTCCAGCTGCTCCCCAACAGTGGACAATGTTGGCTAAACTCGCAAGAGACTCTCCTCCTCCTTTCATCTGCTCTCCCAGATTATACCTTCTTTCTACTTTGTTTTTCAGAGACAAGACCACCTCAGAATGCGGCTTCTTCCAAAAGAGCATTTGGCAGCTTTCTTCCAAGCCTGAGGGTAGACTGAGAAGTGGTTTCTTCTTTTTCCTAATACAGGTATTAAGCTGACTTAATATTCACTTACTCTGAAAAAATCCCACTTTACAGAAACATTTTTTAACATGAGCCAAAGTGTTTCTCCCTAATTCAGCACAATTGTGCCTGGTTTATATCCATTGATGTTAAATGATTTCCCGTTTAATATCAATTGGAAATGGCTGATTTCCTACCCCAAACAGTACTTAATGTCAATTATGGCAGGCAGGGCAGAGCTGTTTTTCAATTAACTACACCACTCCGTTTTGTTTCCTGGTGAGTGGTGCAAAATACATGCACACAGAGCCACCTTATGAAATAGTGACAGAGAGGGATGCAGTTTTGATTGTGTTCCCTAGTCCTGACCATTGGTTTGGGAGGTGATGGAGGGATGAGGGTTGGTAGGGGGTGGTGGGAGCTTCCCTTTTCCCTTCTCTCCAGGGACCAGGGACCTAATTAGAGTAGTACAAACCTTACCCTTCCATCAGAGGAACTGCTGGTCTGGTAAGGACCAGACCTTGTTAGGGAAAGCACAATGCTTAACCATAAACAGTCTTGCTAGAACAGAGTTCGCAGACATGTGGAGGGGGGTTATGGATTCATAAAGAGGATGTGACTGTGAGGTGGATTTTATAGTAATTTTCAGAGAGCCTGGGTATGGTTGTGGCATAAGGCTGAGAATGGCAGCTAACATCTATTGAATGCCTACTGTGGGTCAGCAATGTCCTGTTATTTAATCCTCTCAATAACCTTGTAAAGGTATATGCCTCGTACATAGATGTCCATAGCTGAGGCTGATAGGATTGTGTAATGCCATTGAGCTCTTCAGCAGTTGGAGGTAGAGTTCAAATCCAGGGCTGTCTGATTTTATCTCATGGGCCAGTCTCCCTTTCTAGTGAAACAAATGGTTGAAAGTATTCCTGGTATTGTCTGTTAATCAGGGCAATGCTTCTTGGGACGTTGGAGGATAGTCCCGGAGAGGAGTGGCATCCAGGGGTTTCTCTTCTCCTTGGTCTAGGATCCACAGCTCGACACAGTCTTTTCTCATGTTGCCTTGTGTTTTTCCACCTCTCTCTGTGTGGAAGCCTTTCCTCACACTCCTGTTTGTGCTAATCCCACGCCTTTCAGGGACTAGCTTGAGATTGTCTCTGAAACATTCTTGACGGCTCTGCCCACCTTGGGCACTACCTGCTGAGCTCTTTCAGCACTTGTGCTCGAAGATCCTGTGCTCACATTTTCCACATATGGCTGCAGCAAACTTTCTTCAGAAACCAAGCAGAAAAGAACTTCGCATGAGGGGGCTAATAGGTCAGAAATTAAAACTGAAATTCAGTTTTGTCATGTTTTACCTCATTTTTCTTCATTCAGTGAAGATTTATTAAGAGCCTGCCATGTGCCAGGCATTATGCCAGGAGCTGTTGATGCCAAGGGGGGTGTACACTAGCGGAGGGAACAGACACTGAAGGGGCACTTCGGTGAAGGATCATAGGTACCATGGGATTGTACCAGGACAGAAGCACTTCATTCCATGATGGAGAGAAATCAAGGGAGTTTCTCTGGGGTGGACATGTGAACTGAGTTTTGAGGAGGTGGCCAAGCAATGGCAGGTAGGGATCAGAAACCTGAGAGAACATTTTAGCGCAGGAGTCAGCAGCTGCCTAGGTGTAGATGACACTGGACCTGGCAGGTTATTGACGCTCTTTAGGTTCCATCCTTTGTCTACACCTTCATCATAGGGATGGTGTGAGGATGAATAACAGCATACGTTTACTGTTTACTCTGAGCCTTGTGTTGTTATAAACCCTTTCCTTGTATGAACTCTTTGAATCTTCATAACCATTTTATGATGTAGACATTGCAGTGATGATCATTTTACAGGTGAGGAAAACTGAGTCACAAAGAGTTTACCTCTTCCAAAATAACCAAGCTAGGAAGCAGTAGGGCTGGAATTCAGACCTGGCAGTCTAGCTCCCGAGGCTGACCTCTTAGCCATTAATCTCCGTTTCCTGAATGAACTGGTACATACAAAGTGCATAGCGCAGTGCCTGAATAAAGTAATCACTCCATTAGTAGTTATTGCCTTGATTTTTGCCTGTACTTACAAAACAACAACAACAACAACAATCCCTCTCCTCTTTGGAAAGGTAGGTTCTTTGCTCTTCAGAATACCACTTTCTTAGGAATAGGTCTGTGCTAGCTGCACAGTGACCCTGTCTCCCCTTCACTGTGGGATCTAAAACAGAACAAAACGTGGAGATAAATGCTTGTGTGCCAGCCAGATTAGGAAAAAGTGAAGCTTCTTGTTTCTAAGGTTTATGCTAAGGTTTATCAGAATGCAGACAATTTCTTGTCTGGATATTGCCAGCTGAATGGGCAACTCTATTCTTGGCTACTCTCTCTAAGATGGTTTGCGAATATGCTTTCTTGGGGGGGAGGGGTCCTCTTGAGCTCTCAGATTCCAGGATAACTCATATATTTTTTGAGGTGGTTTGAGTGTCATAGTTGTGAATATAAGTTTTTCTAACCAATTTATTTGGAGGAAACGTCAGATACCAGTGCACGGACTAATCCCATTGGTTGAAAAATACAGTATATTATCCAAGTATTGCTCTGACCAGCCCTTGAATCTGTACGTTTTTCTGTTTCTTCTTCCTGTGTCTTCTGTTGACCTACATGAGACATTTTGTATATCACATATGTGTTTGAGATGTTCAGGTTTGTGTAAAAATCTGTCGGATTATTTGGTAAGACCATTTGATGACAATTTGGATTTTCTTGAGAATTCTTATAGTAGTAGGAATTTATTCTTTAAAACTTAAAGCAATTAGAATCACCCATAAATGCTAGTTATTTTTATTTTCCTATATGTTTTTGAGTTTAGATCAACTTAAACACTAAAAGGGAAGGAGAATAAAAGAGAATGGGCATAGGGAAGGGCCGGGACTTAAGAGCCCTTACCAAGTTATTGAGCCAGCATACCATTGTTTCCAAAAATGGTACCAGTGATAACTTGTATGCGGTAATTTCTAGTCTAAACAAGCAAAAAGAATTTTGTTATTTGACATTAGACAGTATTTATGGACGTTGTTTCATTCATCCTTGCAGTATCTCAGAATGTTATGAGAATAAATATCTTCTTCAATTCAGACTGGCTCAAGGTCGATGCATGGAAGCCAGACCTTTGGACTCCTTTTTACTATAAGCTGACTCCCAGTGGTTATCCTTTGCCTTGATTGAAAGCATTATTCTCTAGAGTTGGGCTTTCAGAATTGTGAAGCCTGGACAAGGGAGAGGTTTATGAAGAAATGAGAAGTTTGTAAAGAATGCCTATTACATGCCTGGTACCATGATGGGCAGATTTTCAATGCATTTTTAATTCTTCAGAGGAAGCCAGTTCTCTATACCTGATGTATGCACCCCATTGGCACAGTATTTACAATAATAGGTGGTGATTATGCCAGAGAATCCCAGGCCTTGCCAAATGAAAAACAGGTATTTGGCGCGGTGTGGGGCAGTAGGTCCACATTATTGTATCCATCTCACAGGTGTGGTGGAAAGATGGTCTCAAGTTTGTTGGGCAGAAATTCTTGACATTTGGTTCAGGTCTTTGGTGCCTTTAGTTGCTCACCTCTAGCGGTACCTAATCCAACTGCTAATTAAGGGAAAAACAGAGACAGCAGATGAGAAGTGTGACTTTTTTTTCCCCCTTTCAAAGCAATTTAAACCTTTGGAAGATACAGAAATGTAGTCCTGTTATTTGAGCTAATTTACAGTCCTTCCCTCGTCCACCACAAGGAATTTATGAACCTGGAAAAGCTGGAAGTCCCTTAGCAAAGTAAACAAACTGTAACTCAGGGTTGCATACTTCCAAGGAGCCTCTATCAGGTTTTATTTTCACACCAGAGGTGAAAAGATAGTTTGGTGAGCCATGCTTTGTCTCGTTGGGAGCGGCCAGCAGCCTGCGTGCACCGGGCAGGAAGAGAGGGTTAACGCACAGCAGTTGTCATTGTCCTGCTGAGAACAGTGATGCAGCAGGAGCTGGCATTGACTGAGCCTCGCCATGGCTCAGGGACCATCTCCCACGTTTCAGCCTTGCTGCACCCTTTGAACTAGACACTGTTAGTATCTACATCTGACAGATGAGGAAACTGAGGCTTTTAGGTGTTTGGATGTTTTTCCTCTAGAAACAAAGTCAGAATGTGACTTCACACAATTTAGCCACGGAGGGGGCATTATCTAAGGCGGAGAATGGACTCTATGTGTGTGTGGGGGGTGGGGTGGGATTGGATAGGGTTTCTTTTTAGAAAGGGGGGAGATTTCTTGTCCTTCTGTGTTTGCAGCCCCTTGTTTTCCCCTTCCAAAGCCGACTGTGAACACTGGACTGGAGGTCAGGAGGCCTGCATCCAGTCCTTGCCCTAAAAGATACTGGCCACATGATCTTGTACACTTCTTTCCCCTCATCTGGCATCAGTTTTCTTATTCCTAAAATGAGGAGGGCCACACAGGTAGCTGGTGTCTAGGACAAGTGGCTCCTGGTTTTAATGGCTGGAGGAGTTGGTGAACCAGGGCGATCGATCTTTGCCTTTTAACCCCTCCCTTATCCACCCATGTGTGGGAGACAGTGATGCTTCTCTCGGTTGTGGTAGGCCCTAAAAAGAGAGAAAGTTGTTTTTTTATGTGCTATATACCAGATGACCTTGATGTGATGGACTGTGGGATCTGGTGACACTGCACACTCAGTACTATTCAACACTTCGCCTGAAAGGGAGGAAGGAATGGATTTATTGACTTGAGACTCTGACTCGGGCCTGTGTATCAGGCCCATTATTATGTGGAATGATTAGGCTGCAGTGGCAGGAACAAGTTAAACTAGAACAACAAAAGACCTCCTTAACCTTTACCTGGACACAAGGCCATTCATAATGACTTGCATGGTTTGGAAAACCAAGTCTCTCCTGGAGCACTCAATATTTTGCAGCCCCAGCA